CTGGAATCAACTTTGAGCTCAAAGGACACATTCTAGGAATGCTCAAGGACATTCCATTTTTCCGGAAAAGATCATGAAGACGCGTTTAGGCACATCGATGAAGTCAAGGACATTGCAAATTACTTAAATGTTCCAAATGTCTCGCGAGAAGCAGTGTTACTCAGAATGCTTCCAGAAATCTTCACAGGAGATGCAAATATCTGGCTAAAGTCCCTTGCACCTAGAGCAATTACAACTTGGACGAATCTACGCGAAACTTTCATTGAGAAATTTAGACCACCATCAAAAATAGCCAAGCTCAAGAAGAAGATAGCAAACTTCCAACAAAATGATGGCGAGTCTTTGTTTGAAGCTTGGGAGATGTATAAAGGCATGCTTAGGAATTCCCCCAACACGATCTCAATGTGCAGCAAGAAGTATCTATCTTTTACGATGGGGTAAACGTTACAACAAGACAACTCCTTGACTCTCAAGGTCCAATGACAAAGAAAGAACCGACTATTATTAAGGAGTTGATTGAAGAATTCGCAAAACATTCATGCGCATATCATAACCCACGAGAAGATGTTACAAGAGGCAGGGGAAGTTTGGATGGAGGCAATGAGAACATGGTAGCGGTTATGGCAAAATTAGAATCAATGGACCGGAGGATGACCAAGATGGATCAATCCATCCATGCAATTCAGGGTGGATGTGATAATTATGGTGGACCGCATTTGACAAAGGAGTGTGACCTTGATGAAAACGGAAATCGGAAGGTGCAAGCTTGCTATTCAAGTGGAGATAGGTACAATGAAAACTGGAAGAAACCAAAGAAGGAGTGGCTACCCTATGATAAGTATCAAAAGGAGAAAGAGGAAAAGTATAGGCAACAAGGTCGCGGGTTTACCAAAAGGAGGAACCACCTCCCGAAAAGAACAATGGATTTGAAGCCATGCTTTCCCGAATTGCAGTTGCATCGGAGTAGAGACATGACGTTATTGATATCGCCATTCGAAATAAGCAAACCTCCATCTGAAAATATTGAGCAACAAATCGGTCAAATGTCTAAGCAATTCAATGAGCGTTTACCGGGCAGACTTCCAAGCAACACGAAACAAAATCCGAAGGCGCATGTCAAGGCCATCACAACAAGGAGTGGTAAAATTATTACCCCTTTGACTCCTATTATTAACAATAATTCAGATGTTGTGTAGGAACCGAAAAATAAAATTCAAGACAAGGCCACCAAACCACAACCATAGCATGGTGAAGAGCCAACCACGGAATGGCCGACTGCTGAAGGCAATAAAACTCCTCCGGTCAAGACATATCAACAACCGCTACCATTCTCGAGCCGAGCCAAGCAAGACAAGAAATCCAAAGATTACAAGAAGTTCTTGGAGCATATCAAGGCCCTTCAGATCAACATTCCATTCATCAAAGCAGTGGCCCAAATGTCAAAATATGCTAAATTTTTGAAGGATCTTCTCACGAATAGAAAGAAGATGGAGGAGGCAACTAATGTAGTCTTGAACGAGAATTTCTCAACCGCTATGTTGAACAAGTTACCTAACAAGATGGGGGATTCAGGAAGCTTGAAAGTCCCATGCCAATTTGGGAATTTGGCCACAAGCTACACTCTTGCCGATTCGGGAGCTAGCATGAATCTTATGCCCTACTCTTTCTTTAAGAAATTGAATCTTGTGGAGCCGAGGCCAATTCGCATGGAAATTCACCTTGACAACCAGACGGTGACTTTTACAAGAGGTATATGTGAGGACTTATTGGTTAAAATTGTCAAGTTTGTTTTTCCTACAGTTTTTGTTGTTTTAGATATGGAAGAAGACAACCAAGTTCCGATCATTCTTGGAAGGTATTTCCTAAGCACCGGATGGGCCTTGGTGGACATACAAGAGTCCAAACTTACCGTTCGTGTTGGAGAGGATGCTATCACTTTTGGGGTGGGTAGAGCAATGAAACATTCGAAGATAACCGATGACACGACTTTCTCGGTGGACATCTTCGATGAGGTGTTGGAAAATGAAGTGAATGGGTGGAAGGACAACAATTCAGAGGGGTACATGGTTCTGAAATAGAATGATTTTGATGTTGAACGTGACTTAGAAGAATTAGAGAGGCTTCTGGAAGAGAGTGAATTTGAAGAACTTAAAAAGCAACCGAAGACTCGCCACGGCGTGGCAATACCTTTGCCACAACGTGGTCACCTAAAAACTTGCGATCAGTCAGCCATTTGAAATGACTACGAAATGGCAGGCAGATGCCCACGTCATGGCGACGGAACAGAAGCCGAAAATCTAATTGAAGACCTAGCCGAGCATCTGGAATACGCTTTTTTGGAGGAAAATGAGCAGAAGCCTGTCAATATAGCAGCTGATCTTGAGCCTGAAGAGAAGAAGAGTTTGGTTGAAGTATTGAAGAAACGCAAAATGCTATCGCTTGGAAGATTACCGACATAAAAGGAATTATCCCTGCATATTGCTCGCATAAAATCAATCTGGAAAAAGACACCAAACCGGTGGTACAACCACAGAGACAATTAAATCCAAACATGCAAGAAGTGGTTAAGAAGGAATTGATGAAATTGATGGATGCCGAAATAATATATTCCATTTCCGATAGTCCAGGGATTAGCCCAATTCATATAGTACCGAAAAAGGGTGGCATGATGGTGGTAGTGAACGAGAAGGACGAGCTTATTCCGCCACGAACAATAATCGGTTGGTGAGTGTGCATCGATTATCAAAATTTAAACGATACCACTTGCAAAGACCATTTTCCCTTACCTTTTATTCATCAAATACTCGAGCATTTATCCGATCATCTTTATTACTGCTTTTTAGATGGCTTTTCAGGGTATTTTCAGATTCCCATCGATCCACGAGACCAAGAGAAGACGACATTTACGTGTACAAGCGGGACCTTTGCCTGTCGTTGGATGTCATTTGGATTATGCAACACACCGGCCACATTTCAAAGATGCACGACCGCCATCTTCCACGACATGGTGGAAAAGTTCATGGAAGTTTTCATGAACGATTTTTCTGTTTTTGGTTCATATTTTAATGATTGTTTGGATAACCTTGACTTGATGCTTGCTATGTGTGAGAAGACCAATTTAGTCTTGAATTCGGAAAAGTGTCATTTTATGGTGAAGGGAGGAATAGTTTTAGGTCACAAGGTTTACAAAGTGGGAATTGAGGTGGATCATTTAAAGATCGACACCATTACTACATTACCTTCTCCAACAAACGTGATAGGGGAACATATTTTTTTGGGTCATGCGGGATTTTACCGTCATTTCATAAAGGATTTTTCAAAAATCGTTTCATAAAGGATTTATCATAAAAGAGTACCACGACATAGTGATCACCAACCACACTGTGGTGAATGGAAACTTCTATATTATAGAGTTACTTGGCGGATATGCGATTTTAATGATCGCCACGCCGTGGTGCCTAATTGTCACGATGTGGTAAGCTAATTTCGGGTTTTATAAATAGATTGATTCCTCTAATGGGTTTTATATGTTACAAAAATCTTATTTCGGCGGAAAAACTTAAACCCTAAGTTCACATGTAACTTAATGGATCTATGTTTTCACTATGATTTGCAACAAACAATTGAATATCAAGAACCCTATCAGTATATTTCTATTTTAGAAATTAAGAAAGGGTTTCTAGAAATTACATACCTTTTATTATAGCAAATAAACAAGTATTCCTTCTTGATTGGTCTTCAAAAAGCAAGCACCAAAAGTATCGTGCCCCTAATGGCTCACACCCAAACCCTAACAAATAGAAGCTTTAGAGGAGAGATGAGGAGAAGGAAGAATTTTGGATCTAAGGCTCTTAGAGAAGTCAATTCCGAAATTTGAAACCCTTAAGGGTAACATATAGGTGTTAGGAAGGTTGTATATAATGCATTCTATTGCTTCCCCCCCCCCCCCCAAAAAAAAAAAGTTGTATATAATGTATGTTTTCTTTTAGATAATCCTAACCCTATTGCTCCCCCCCCCCACCCCACCACAAAGGCATTCTAAGTTTCCTTAAAACCCAAGAACGTCTCTAGAAACCCCTCTAGAACCGTCCTCCTCTTAGAGGGTTCTAGAATTGGTCAATGTTCAAATTTTGAACATTGTCATATTTAGTCCTTCTGCTTTTAATTAATCCAATTAATCCTAAAATTAATTCCAATTAATTTCTTATTAATTCTTAATTAAACAATACTATTTCTAATTAATATATTATTCTCATAATATATTAATAAATCATTTATTTTGATTTCTAATTAAGTTATTAATCATATAACAAATTAATAAATCAGTCTCTCTCTCTCTCTCTCTCTCTCTCTCTCTCCAAAAAACATTCTAGTCAATTACTAGGTTTGAGGGCAACCTAAAAGGACTTTGCTAATAATTCAAGACTATACTAATTTAGTTATTGACTTAGACACCTAATCCAACAACATCTACGAGCTCTGTCAAGACTCTCCTTATCCTATGCATTCGCAAGATCGGGACTTACAGGAACAAGATTCTTGGCAAAAGGCCGTTGGAACTGGGGAAGCGATGCAACAATAGAAACAAGGGTAGGCATGGAGGCATCATTCATAGAATACAACAATACTAGAACAAACAAAATGAATATTGTTATAAAGAATCATAGAACAAGATACATATGAAGTGAGAGAGGAACGCAAGAGGCATACCAATCTATTGAGAAGTGTTTGGAGGAACACTAGCAGTGAGCTCTGGCAAAACATCATCTCCAAATACGGGGGTCATATCAGATGTTTCCACGGAAATCAAATTCGAGCTCGTAGGAAAACTCGAATTAACCAGCAAGGATCCACGGTGACGATTTTTGACTCAACATTAGACGCTTAAAATAGGCCAAAACCAGCACCAAAGAGCTTATATTGAAAAATAGTTGCAGCAGTTAGAGTAGATGGAGTCCGATCCTTCGATGGTAAAAAATAGACTCCACAACATTTCGATTTTATGAAGTCAAAAAGGTAGAAGCATCAAGACCCAGGGGCTCAACCTCAAAGGAAGGAACATTTTCTTCGGCATGCTTAAGGTCAGTATCGGTAACCACCAGACATTCGTGAAGAACGGTTGTTGCAAGTTTTTCATATGCAAGCTCCGGATTGATAGGTTCAGAAGAGGAATGACCCCCAAATGACGGAAAATCACATGGTTTTGACTCACTCCCACGAGTGGTTCTCTTACACTTAGGAGAGGAAAAATCGATTACCTTGTCAGGACAATTCATCACTCCTTCAAGAGAAACAATCTTTTCCCCAAATGCTTTCCTCTTAGACCATAACGTTGACCTAATAGATGAAGGTAGGGGTTTCATGTTATCTGGTTCCGTCTTAACAATGTTCTTGGAGGGAGAAGGAATCACATGCATAGTTGTTTCTTGAACAGTAAAATTCATCGCAGAGTCCATACTAGACTCCGACTGAGACGGAGAATTAGGAATGGTAATTTCCTCCGTGACTAAATCAAAACTTGCCAAAAGTTTGCGATGCAACCGTTCCAACAATGTGACTTCTCGACCTGCTAGGGTCTCCACATGTTTTCTCCCCAATTTATTCCAGTAAGAACTCATCCCTGCCATACCCAACATTACTTCGTCAACGCCAGTCCACTTCACGTAATTTTCCGATAATAGATCCACAATACTCTGTTCTTCCTGAGTTAGATCGGGAGAGGGGTCAACAGCCTTGTCGGCGGTAACGTCATATGCCGTGGGCCCAAAGAAAGCAGTAGAAGCAATAAAAAAGAATTATTCCCTCCAATATTTTATGGATGTAGGAAGGCCATCACAGATCTCTACCAAGCAATGACGAAGAGAAAATGACACCCAATCACCATTCGACATAGGAATGTAAAAATGGCGAAAAATGGTGATGGATGGCATAACATCAAGCGCAGAGCACATCATCACGAAACAAATGATTTTTTGAAAACCATTTGGGGGTAATTTGGGCAATGTGGAGATGATAATAATCAAGGGTTGCCTCCAAGAAATCAAACGCCGACAGTCGTAAGCCTGATTTACAGAATTAGGAATGGTAAAGAATTAGGAATGGTAATTTCCTCGGTGACTAAAGCAAAACTTGCCAAACGTTTGTGATGCAACCGTTCCAACAAAGTGACTTCTCGTCCTGCTAGGATCTCCACATGTTTTCTCCCCAATTTATTCCAGTAAGAACTCATCCTTGCCATACCCAATGTTACTTCGTCAACGCGAGTCCACTTCACGTAATTTTCCGATAAGAGATCCACAATACTCTGTTTTTCGGGATTCAGATCGGGAGAGGGGTTAACAGCCTTGTCACCATATGCCGTGGGCCCAAAGAAAGCAGTAGAAGCAATAAAAAAGAATTCTTCCGTCCAATATTTTATGGATGTAGGAAGGCCATCACAGATCTCTACCAAGCAATGACGAAGAGAAAATGAAACCCAATCACCACTCGACATAGGAATGTAAAAACGGTGATGGATGGCATAACATCAAGTGCAGACCACAACATCGCGAAACAAATGATTTTTTAAAAACCATTTGGGGTAATTTGGACAATATGGAGATGATAATAATCAAGGGTTGCCTCCAAGAAATCAAACGTCGACTGTCATAAGCCTGATTTAAAGAACATCTGATATACCCCAACAAATCCTTCATGGGCGTCAACAATGGCATTCCCCGGTGAGGACGAAATTCAGGATCGATATGATACTTTTTCATAATATCAACAAGGGTTTTTTTGAGAAATTTTGGATTTCATGGTATGAATGTTTGATACTTCTTTGCTATCCATGATGATTCAAGATGAAGAAGAAAAAGTAGAAAGCAGTTTGAAGAAGAAAGTTGCACGAAGTGATAAAAATAACCAACCAAAAAGAGTTATTTATAGGAGATTAAACGAAACCGCTTTTACGAATGGACAAAGTGGCCACTAAATATTGTAGACTCTCTAAATGGAAAAGAACTGAGTAGATGGACATATGAAATGATGAATACTGCAGGCCGCCGAACCGTCATGTCAACATTCAATTCAGGTGTTTGTTCTTATCCGGCCCTAACGATTACTTTAAAAGTTTGAATCGTTACTCTTAGAAGAAAAGTAACAATCCAAATTAGGGGGACTTAATAGGGTATAACCTAGCCTAAAACTATGTATATCCTTTTTACATCGAACCATGTATATACCGAACTAGGTATATACCAATCCAAGTACATACAAAACCAGGTACATACCGAACTATAAGAGATAACGAACAAAGTACGAGGATACGTCACAACAATATCATAGTACATAGGAACTCACAAAAAACATGTTGTACAAGGATGTTTGACTAATGGGTTCTCAAAAAAACAAAGAACATATGTTAAACGGATAACAAGTACATACGAGTGTACCTAGGGGTGGCAATTGTTGACACGACACGACAAAAATACACGACACGAAACGAAATTGGGACGAAATAGAAATTTGAATTCGTGTTCGTGTCGTGTTCGTGTCAAGTGTAAAAAACACGATGTCGTGTTGTATCGTGTTCGTGTTCAAAATTCGACATGAAATTGACACGATTTAGCATTTATTTGTCGTGTTTTTCGTGTTATGTATGATTAAATATTAATTAAATAAACTAATTGTTATATTATGTTATCTTTGTCGTGTCGTGTCGTGTTTGTCGTTTTTTAATTTGTTCGTTTTCGTGTTAGTTAAAAAAACACGACATCGTGTCGTGTCGTGTTCGTGTTACGTAAAACATTGTCGTGTGGTGTCGTGTCAGACAAAAACACGACACAATGGCCCGATTTGCCACCCCTAAGTGTACCTTCGGGGGTGTGACCATTAATGCGATAAGATGGTAGACGTGCTCGGCATAGGAAGATGTTACGACCTCCCAACGTCAACTATAAATAAACAATGAAGATCATTCTCCAATGTACGCACCTTCTACCAACTGTTCATAATCAATTATACCCTAAATACTTTCACTCCCTCACGATTCTATATATCGTTGTTATCATTATAAATCCTTTTTTGACTTTGTCATCAGAGCGTTGGCCCGGGATCCCCTCCCGGTCAACCAGCTTACGAGTTTGTTTTCTGTCTCTAGGTTATCCATATTACTAAGGAAGCAACTACCCTTATAGACGATGGAAGGCGAATCCGGGGGCGCATCATCCTCCATTACGAAGTGGTTCCTAATTGGCCACATTTTGGTTCCTGCTGTAGGAATTTTCTTTTTTTCATTCTTTCCACTTTAACCCTATTTACAATATCCCACCTCTTAACTCATTAAGCCCCTATTGCACTCAAAACTTATTCATTTTATAACACCTATTTAAGTTGTAATACTTCTCTTTTACAACATTATAAATTTCACTCAAAAATCAAGATTTACTCAAAATGACAAAAATACCATTTTCGCATAAACACTTTTATTACAATATTACTTAACCTTTAATACAAACACCTGCATATTTTACATTACTACCGTCTCATAGATTATAATTTACTGTAAAACAAAATGAGTGTCACATCACAACTCATAAAACTGTAAATCAAGTTGTGTAACAAGGTTAATCAAATGATCTAGGACCAGTAATTGAACGAGATATAATAAGGTTTCTCAAGTTTCACAAAGAGACTTGTGTTATTGAAAAATATATTATAAGATTTGCTGGATTTCGACAATATCTCACTAGGGAGAGCTTATATTTGTAGGGTTTCTCAAGATCGTGGGTGTTAGATGATTGGTTTGACCAAATTCGATTATGAAAGACCAATTACCGAATTTCATGATGAAAGACCAATTACTATGGTTTCAACCTTAGCATAACTTGGAATGTTTAGTTGGAGTTATAAATGATAAGAAATTGGAATAATAATGATTAAAAACCATGGATCAACGATGGAATGATAAGTCATTGAAATCGTTCATAATCCATTATTTAGTGAGGAGTCATTTCATTTTTCATTTTACATAATTAAACCAACATTTCCTCTTTAACAGAGGATATGAATCAGTAACATCTTGAGGTATGACATGGATGGGTGTAAAGATGACTTACAATAGTTACTCGTTCGGTTTGGTGTTCAACAAATTGATTAAATGAATATTTTATACCTAACACATTTGTGGGGTTCGGTTCGCTTAAAAAAGGAATTGAATTAAGCCCTGTGTAAGAAGAATGGGATAAAAAATTTTGGGTCTCCAAGAAACTTTGATGATTTAATTAAATCTATTCAAAGTTATAAGTGAGGAAATTAACAATTTGATTCTTTCCTTATATGTGTACAAAGAATGGAATTTTTTTCTTGGGTCTCCAAGAAACAAAACATAAAAGCCTTTATGTTTTCACAAAAATATCGGTTTTACCCTTGGACGTGTTTTAAGTCTAGTAAAATCAGTTGTTTTGTTTAATTTGTTCATTTATACCATTTTAGTCGGTTTCTAGGTAACCTACCGGTTACCTAATGCCAGTAAAACCCTTGAGTTTTCAAAAATGTTCGGATTTATCCTTAACTTTTCAAAAATATTCGGATTTACCCTTACTTTGATTATTATTATTATTATTATTATTATTATTATTATTATTATTATTATTATTAGGGAAAATGACATTAAAGCCCTTAAGTTTTCACAAAAATGTCGGTTTTACCTTTGGACGTGTTTTATGTCCAGTAAAGCCCGAAGTTTTGTTTAATTTGTTCATTTTTACCCTTGTAGCCGGTTTCCAGGTAACCTACCGGTTACCTAATGCCAGTAAAGCTCTTGAATTTTAAAAAATGTTCGGATTTACCCTTAAGTTTTTCAAAAATGTCCGGATTTACCCTTACCTTGATTGTTATTATTATTATTATTATTATTATTATTATTATTATTATTATTAATACATTTTTAATTGTATAAAAATATTTTTTACATACATTTTTAAATGAATAAAAAATTTTCATACGTTTATAATACATTTTTATACATATTATTATTATTATTATTATTATTAATACATTTTTAAATGTATAAAAATATTTTATACACACATTTTTAAAAATGTATTTATTTGTATTTAGTAGGTATAAGTATAAATATATATATTTATTTCATATAAAAATATATTATATACATATAAATATAAAAATACATATTTATATGGTTTATATTATATAAAAGATATAATTATATGTATTTGTACATATTACCAAGTATAAATATGTATTTATTATCAAACATCATACTAAATAGATAAGCAAAATAAATATTCGTCAATTAAAAACATAACGTGACAATTATAAAACCCTCGTAATTAGAAAACCTCAATAAAAACACTCGATTACAGATAAGATTTAGTATAAAATTTGAAAAAACCTCTATTATTCAACTATATTAGGTTAATAGTGAGTAGATAACAATAAATGATCAACAAATAACACTCGTAAATGAAAAATACATAATATAATTAAAAAAACCCTCGACAAAAACACTTATATTAGTACTAAATACATTTAAATACTAAATACAAGTACATACATTTTTAAAAATATATTTATATTAGTAAAAATATTTTTATACATTTAAAAATGTATGTATAAAATATTTTTATAAAATTAAAAATGTATTAATAATAATAATAATAATAATAATAATAACAACAACAACAATCAATGTAAGGGTAAATCCGAACACTTTTGAAAAAACTTAAGGGTAAATCTGAACATTTTTGAAAATTCAAGGGCTTTACTGGCATTAGGTAACCTAGGTAACCGGTAGGTTACCTGGAAACCGGCTACAAGGGTAAAAATGAACAAATTAAACAAAACTTCGGGTTTTACTAGACATAAAACACGTCCAAGGGTAAAACCGACATTTTTGTGAAAACTTAAGGGCTTTTATGTCATTTTCCCTTATTATTATTATTATTATTATTATTATTATTATTATTATTATTATTACTATTTTTATAATAAATTTTTAATAAATTTTTAAATGTATACAGATATTTTATACATACAATTTTAAATGTATAAAATTATTTTTATTAATATAAATATTTATATATAAAAGTGTATATATATATATATACACTTTTATTTAGTGTTTATATACATTTGAAAGCCTATGTATACCTTTAAAAACGTATTTATATATTAAAAATGTATTTATTTGTATTTAGTAGGTATAAATATATATTTATTTCATATAAAAGTATATTCTATACGTATAAATATAAAAATATTTTTAAATATTGTATAAAAATATTTTTATTAATATAATTATATTTTTAAAAATATATATACTTTTATTTAGTATTTATATACATTTGAAAGCCTATGTATTCCTTTAAAAACGTATTTATATATTAAAAATGTATTTATTTGTATTTAGTAGATATAAATATATATTTATTTCATATAAAAATATATTGCATACATAGAAATATAAAAATACATATTTATAAGGTTTAT